TTGCTAGTCTGCCTACCCCCTCCCGGCTCCTCCTCACCCCACTTCCTATTAAAATGCAGCAGGATCTGCTGCGAATCAAAGGCGCATTCACAGACACTGGCACACAGGGGCCTGACTAAACCAATTAGGGAAATGGCCTTTCTCTCAGCTCCCGGCGTTCCGGAGCACCCAGCTGGGAGATGAAATCGCGCCTGGTTTCCTCAGACACTGGAGCCTGGTGAGGAGGAGCCGGGAGGAGGCTGCCTCCCCAAGGGCAGCTTATGGGGGCGCGCGGGATGCTGCGCTGCTTCCAGGGGCAGAGGCTCGCGGCAGGAGGCAGTGTCTGCGCTTCCTGTGCTTGTCGCCGAGGAGGGGCTGGGGCCAGGCAGCTCTGGCCCGCAGCCACTCTCCTGGACTATGTGCAGCCCTCCCAGCTCCCGATGTCAGCATGCCTTTGAGTACGACATGCGCCATCCAACCTGGCCTTTGTATCTGAAGGGGACCCCCTTGGGACGCAAGCTTATGCCTGTCCAGTTCTCCCTCCTGCCCAAGGTGGACACCGCATGGCTGGGGGCAGAAAACCAAACAGGAGCTGCCCACCTCCTTTCCCTTCCAGACAAACTCTGCCAAAAGCTGCTAGGAGCCAAGCAGCACCAGGGTCCATTCATTCTTTGGGCACCATGGGGCAAACTGCCAGCTCCCAGGTCACTGGGCAAGGCATGAGTTTGAGTAGAGGGCTTCCAGGAGGAGCCCCATTCCTTTCTCTCCAGGCAGCTAGGGCAGAACAGATGCAGGGCACGGGGTTAGTCTGTGGCCCTTGAATCAGCTAGGGACACCCCCCCCAGCTGCACCTCCACTGTATTAGTCACACGGGGTTGCAAACACCTGCCCACAAGTCTTTCTTCTGCAGGCTCCCACTCAGTCAAGAACAAGCACAACACCTGGCACCCCTGCCACCGAGCCAAGCAATGAATGAATAAAATGAATGAATGAATGAATGACTCATGCACGCAACTTAACTCGAACCTTAGGGCTATTAAAGACAAAACACCTACACAGGAAGCTCCCCCACCCTGTGTTTTTTTGTTTTTAACACTTTGAGGCACCACATCCATAAACATGAATTGCTATGTGGCAGACTGTGTGAGTCCAAGGGCAAGGGGACAGAGGAAAGCTCAAGGTCACACCCCACATTCCCAGTGCCCAAGGGTGTGCTGCTGAAGCCAGAGGGCTCCTCCAGCCCGAGGCCAGATCCCAGCCAACCCCGCCAGACCCAGTTACTTCTTAGAACCCACGAAGAAGTCCCAGGTCATCTGTGCATGTCCTTACAAGCAGCAAGCAGGTGGGACCAGGCAGTGGGGAGGAAAAGGGAAATGCTCCAGATGTCTTATTTGGCTCTGGCTCTAAATGCTCCATGGTCTTGGGGAAGCTCCTCCCTTTCTTTGAGCTTGTGTCCCCCTCTGAAGGGCAAGGGGGCTGGTGTGGAAGATCTAATGCCCTCCAGTTCTGAGATTCTGGCTTAGGGACAGAGATTGGAAGCTGACCCTGCCCCGGGGGCTCTGGGCAAGACACACTGACATACCACCCGCCCCAGACGGTCCTTGTCAGAACCCTCCCCTACTCACCACGGCTGCAGCGGTGTCCGCAGCCAGGGACGCCCAGCTGAGGATCACGGCCAGTAGCCCACAGCACAGCATCCTAGGAGAAAGGCAGTCCAGGTGGGATCCAGGCAAAGGCTGGCAGGCAGGGGACCTCATGACGGCTGTCACCCCACCAACTTCAGTGCCCTTCTCTCAGCATGAACTTGCCCTCCCTGGTATCAGCCCTGCTGACTGCGGGACAGGGAGAAGGAACCCAGTGCCTAGGCATAGGTCCCTGGGCCAGAGAGAGCTGAGAGGGTGCGAGCTAAGGAGGTACAGTTAGTGGTGGTGGGAGGCTCTGATGCTCAGGCATTGCTTAGTGTCCAGATTACAAGGCCAGGCTGCTGTCCCCTCCTGGCTGGGTGCTGAGGAGGGTGGAAGGTGGCTTCAGGCTGTGGCCCCACCACATCCCTTGAGCTTGGCCAGGCCCTCATCTCTCTCTCTTGGTGGCCCCGCCACTCCACATGCTCCCCCAGATCTTTGTCCCAGGCCCGCAGGCAGGGCTACTCACAAGGCCAGAAGACACCTGGAGCGCTTGGCCAGTCCCACGCAGGCGACGAGGCAGACGGCCAGGTCCAGGATGAAGAGCAGGAGGTAGGAAAGCCACCTGGGTGGGGGGTGAGGGACAGTCAGGGGGAGCAGGCAAAACTCCCCACCGGGGAGGCCAGAACAGCAGCCTCCAGGCCCACCGACCATTTGCTACCCCGCCGCCCAGAGCGGAGGTATGGGGCGGAGAAGGGGCTTCTGCCGGTCTCCAAAGGGAAGTCTTGTGCTCAGTACTTTTCTCAATGTAGGAGCCAAATAAATTCGGTGACCCCTCCTCTCCAGCAATGGTTTTCTGCTTCCCTGATACATAAAGAGGGTAACAGGTCTGGATTTGGGGTAGGAAGTGGGACGGAGCTGGGAGAAAGTGACAACGGGGTTCCTGGGGGGGGAGGGGAGCACGCTGGAGGCTGTCGGGCAGCCAAGTGCGGTTCTTTCCACTTTTGTGAATGGAGGCCCCAAAGGGCCTGATCACAGAGCAGGGCAGGCCCACGGCAGGTGCAGTGCCCAGAAAAGGAGCTGGGGGCTCTGGGGGAAAGTGCAGAGCCCGCCCTCTAATGGGACAAGGCCACCAAGGAGCCAGTTTTCTTAGAATCAGAGTCAGAGCTGGAAGGAACCCAGGGGAACAACTGGTGTTAGGATCCCATTCGGATTGGAAAACTGTGGCCCAAGGCAGGGGAGCCTGACCCAGGAATCCCCAACTCCCCAGGAAACCTTTCATGCCAAAAGGTTTCTCCTTGCTGCCTCTCTCCCCACCAGCAGGAAATCAAGTTAGGGTTACGTCTGACTCCCCGCCCGGGACCCCTCAGCCCCACGCCTCCAGCCCTCGCCCTGTAGCCTCGTCTCATGCCGTAAGGGTTCCTGGACGCAGCTCTGCCAGACGGATGCCTTTTCCCAGAGGAGCTGGGTGGTGACCCCGGGATGCATTTCCCACGGAGACGTGGGCTCCGAAGGAGCCGAGGCCTTACTCCACGGCCCCTCCCACATCCGCCTCAGCTGCACTCCCATCCGGGAAACCTCCGCAAGAGGGTAGCGGGTGCGGGCTTTTCATGGCCTGCGGTACTTAGGCAGGCCTGGTATAAAAGTGCTAAAAAATCCTGGCTTGGCTGGGGGGCTATGCTCTAGAACCGTCCGGAAGCTGAGGTGGGGAGGCTGTCTGGGGGAGACCCATGCAGGCCGGTCCCACGCAGGCCTAAGGCTGGTTAGCTAAAGGACAGACCCGAGCAGCTCAGTGAGGGGGAGGAAGCAGGGAGAGGTGAGGACAAGGGACAGGTCATCGGCGGTGCTCAGGAGCCACAGGCGCTAACCTTGGAGGAGCCTTTGCTGCCCTGCCCTGAACGAGGGGTGGGAGCTGGGGACGGGAGTGTTAGGGGTCCCTGTCAGTCACCCAGATTGAAATAGCTTCTGGACAGTCAGCACCACCTTCCCCTCGCATTTTTAATGAAATCACCTTAAAAATAAGCTTTTGCCATATAAATTCTGACTCATTTCATCCTTGCCAAAATGCCCACGTTAGGCCCTCAAGTGTACATGGTCCTCCGCGAGGTCCACTCAGAGAGAATGGCAGGGTCACAACGGACGCCCGCGTTCCATCTCCCCTGACCCCTCATGACAAAAAGATTTCGAAGGCTCAGGCAATGAATGGCCCTCCTGTCACAGGACTAATCAGATGCCACTGTTTTGGGTCACGGGTCACAGCCAGTCCTTAGAAGTGGCAGTTTCTATCGGGCACCTGGGAGAAAGGCACTGTTGCACCCAGCAGGTGGGATGTTGAACCAAGGTCCCTTTCAGTCCAGATGTCCATGACATCCTGGGAGCGCAGGGGCTGGACGTGAGTCTGGGGGCTGGACGCGCTGCAGAGGGCAGGGATGGGGAGCTCTGTCCAGAGCTGGGGCCTCGTGTTTCCTGTCAGCAGGGCCCTGCCATCTCCTACCCTGGGAAAGGCGAGAGCCCAGGCAGGGAGGTCTCTGGCTCAGTTCAGCCTGGGTGGGGCTTTCCCATAAAGGGGATATGAATCCAGAAAACCTAGTCAATTGTGCAACGTTGGGCTAAAGGTCCTGACCTTTGCAAATGGCTTGAAAAGGAGCCAACACATTGTGGGGAAGGGGGTCCAAAGAGCTGATGCTTGCAGGTCAGGATTCATTTATCTGTCCCGCCCTCGCACCTCCTCGGTGCCGGGCCCTGGGTGCGGTGACGGGCACTTCATGAGTGTGAGCTGACCTTCAGCCAGGACACACCCAGAGCCCAGGCTGCTGCCTCCCTTCCTGGCTCTCCCCAGAGTGACCTCTACTAGACCCTGCATGTGGGGGGAGGGCAGGGGGGTCCCTGGTCAGCTGACCTGTGTCCAGTGTCTTCACCTGGGATGGGGTCTGAGGAACGGGGAGGGAGGGGAGACATAAGTGGGCCCTCATAAAATAGAGGGTATGAGTTAGCACAGCTGAGTATGGCCGAGGCGGGGGTGGTGGCTGCAGCCCCATCACTCGAGCTGGGGGCATCTCTGGGCTTGCCACGAGACTGCCAATAGGGGAGGCTCTGTGCAGTCGGAGAAGCCATCATCTCTCTGCCCCCCTGCACCCCTGCGGCTGAGTGTGTCGGTGTAGGGTGCCCTGCCCCAGAAACCTTGGCAGGTGAGGAACCTGTAAACCACTTTCATTTGACCCAGCACCAGCCAGGGAGAACGCTGGCCCCGGGGAGCCCCATGCAGTGTGTGGGGAGGCTGAGGCAGGTCCAGCGCTGGGATACTGGCTCTCCTGGGCCTCGGTGCCCGCCTGTCTCAGAAGGCTGGTCTACATGTCCCCAGGAGCTCTCATGTTCTCTGACTTCAGTTAATGGCTTATGGAGACCTAGTGGTGGCACTTCCCTGCCTGGGCCCCAAGACGCGGGCTCCGAAGAAGGGAGAGGTGCAGCCCCACTGTCCTGCTCTGCCCCCACTTGCCCCTCACCTGTAGTGCTCCACACAGCCACTCTGGTCGGCCAGCTCAGTCAGCTCGGCTGTGACCTCCGTCCACACAGGCACCCCCGACAGCTGGGCAATGATGTTGCGGGCCATCAGCTGCATGAGCTTCAGGGTCTGGAGGTAATCGCCCTGGGCAGCAAAGATCTCACTGAGCCTGGCCAGGTGCCGCTCCAGGTCCTCCTCCATCTTCCGGGTGGTGCCGGACACCTGGGGAGAGGCTGGGGGTGGGAATCTGGCCCTGGGGCGGGAGGAAGCCAGAGAGGTGTCGCCCTGGACTGACTGCAGAAGGGCTGAGTAGCCGAGGACGGCTGCCTGGGCCTGAGCGGGGGCACCTCACACACACGCTGCCCCAGCCCCGAAGGGCGCAGGAGGCTGCCGCCCAGGCAGAGACTGGCAGACAGAGGCCCCCATTACCCATCCAGCTCTCTTGTCCCTCCATCCAGGGGACAGGCCCCGATCTGGCCTGAACCGGGACCTGGGCTCCAAGATCCAGGCCCTGACACTGAAGAGACTCAGCTGGGGAAACACATGAATACCCGTGTTTCTTCCTTGCAGATTCTCTTAAAACTTTTTAGATTACAAACTCTTTCTTCGAGCAAGGAATCACACGTCTAAGCCAGAGTCCCTCTGCTGCTACCTGGCCGTCTGTTCCCACCGCAGGAGGTCTAACCGCCTCGCGAGAGAAAGGCCGCTGCCCGGCTGGCGGCAGCTCAGGCTCCCGAGCCGGGGTGAAGGCGGACAAGGGGGCTTTGAACTGACAGCCAGGCCCCGCTGGGGGAAGCCAGCGCCTTCTCTGTGTGCTCGTGCCCCGTCGCACGTCTGTCCTGCAGGCGGACGGACAGGCTCTAGTCCCCTGGCTGGGCCTTAAAAGCCCGGAGTTGAGCAGACCCTAAAGGAAGCAACTTGCCATTAAAAGGTGGAGAGGGGCCCTTGCCGGTTGCTCAGTGGTTAGAGCATCGGCCCTCGGACTGAAGGGTCATGGGTTCGATTCCCGGTAAAGGGCAGGTACCTGGGTTTCAGGTTTCGATCCCTGGCTACGATCAGGGCGCGTGTGGGAAGCAACCCATTTCTGGATGTGTCTCTCTCACAGGGATGTTTCTCTCTCCCCCCCCTTTCTCCC